CAAATCATGCAAGGATATTTTCTATGCTATTGATATATGCGAATATATTTAGCTGCTCTATCATTAATTAATTTATTTTATAACCCGATTCACATATTTATGTATATTATTATGTATATATGCTAAAGCATTATGTTATGTACATGTATATGCTAATATGCTAATCATTCATTCAAAAAAAGGGTAAGATTAAAGTCAAATAGCTTGAGATTTTGTATTTTTTCCCTTTGGGTTGGGTTCGTGAAATTGTTTCAACCAGCCCCTATAGCAGTTAAGCCACTGTCTGGAATGCCGTGATGTTTGATACTGATGTTGTCAAATATCGCTATGGCAAGTAAGTTGCTTGAGATCGTTAAAATGCCAAGATTAGATACTAGGTGAGAATATCGTGTGGTATATACAGTTGACATGCCATAAAACGACGAGAATATCGTGTTTCTTGAATTATGAAAATGCAAGAGGATGGAAATGTCGAGTTGTTCGAGGTCACTGAAGCGGAGATAAAAATTATTTATTATAGTAAATGTTAAGACATTTAAAATATCGATTTTTTCTTAGGATGACTGAAATGATAGGAAGGTAAAAATGTCGAGTTACTTAGGATAACTTTATTGCCAAGATGGTGAAAATGTCGAGTTACCTAGGATAACATTATTGCCAAAAAAAGTAAAAATGTGGAGTTACCTAGGATAACTTTATTGCCAAGATGGTCAAAATGTCGAGTTATTAGGATAACTTTATTGCAATGAAGGTGAAAATGTCGAGTTACCTCGGATAACTTTATTGCCAAGAAGGTGAAAATGTCGAGTCATTAAGATAACTTTATTGCCAAGAATGTGAAAATGTCGAGTCACTTAGGTTAACTTTGTTGCCAAGAATTTGAAAATGGCGAATTACCAAGAATAACTTTATTGCCAAGATGGTGAAAATGTTGAGTTACCTAGGATAACATTAGTACCAAGAAGGTGAAAAGTTCGAGTTATTTGGATAACTTTATTGCCAAGAAGGTAAAAATGTCGAGTTACCTGGTATAACTTTATTACCAAGAAGGTGAAAATGTCGAGTTATTAGGATAACTTTATTACCAAGAAGGTGAAAATGTCGAATTACCCAGAATAACTTCTTTGCCAAGATGGTCGAAATGTCGAGTTACTTGAAAATGTCGAGTTTGTAGGATCATTGAAATGCAGAGTTCTTTGGGATCACTGACATGCCAAGGAGATGGAAGTGTTTGGGATGCCAATAAGATGTAAATGTCAATATGCCCTAAACTTGTATGATAAAAATATCTCTTTGCTCGGGATTGTTTCAAAGACACGAAGGTGGAACAGTAGTTTCAAACGATATATCATTAGAAAGATTATAAGACCATTTCACCTTTTGGTATTGAAACCTATATCACATTCCTTTCAAATTATCAATTTGTCAATCATTTGTATTCCGCGACTATCCTTTATTTATTTCAAGACATTAGAAACTAATTCCATTTTCTTTGCATTTTAATGATTTACAAGATGTCTACAATGTAACCTAACCTAGGAAGACAATAAATGCCAAGAAAACAATAATGCCAAATAACCCATTAGGTTGTCAATATATAGGAGTTAAGTACTAAAGATTACTAAAGGAACACGTTGAGTGGGATATTAACATATTTCATCAGATCAGAAACTCAAGATTTACACGCCGATTCTTGTTTAAGTAATTATTAGACCACCTGAGGACCATATCACAGCGGAAATCAACGTTATCAACTGTTCAAAAGGTTCATTATAAGAAAGCGACCTATATGAGTAAAGATCAATACGGACCGATTGATAGAGTCTGATATTTCAGTCAATAAGCCGATGTAAGAATGTCTCTTTATTGAAATGTCACAATTTTAAGATTGGTAGTTCTTAAAGGTAATATACAGGGTAATTTTCTTTTTTACACGATTTACAGCTAATGAGCTTTGATAGTTGAAGGATGCGATAGTTAGCAATTTTCGGGAGTCCGGGTCTGGAATATAATATGTAAATAGTCTGCAGAAGTTCTCGAACTGCACGAAAATCGCATGATCCCTTCAATATAGGCTTACTTCAAACTAGAAATTTCACTTTCTTATTCTAAATAATACGTAATTTCTATATATTGTGGAGTATCAAGAAGAGTTTTAACTTTTAATCACGGATAATTCTGGACCCACATGGATTTGAAGGTTGGGATGACCATACGTTATCGTTCAGCAGCTTGAAGCTCTTCATGTACAAGAGCAGATGTCTTTCGTCCCCTTACAACGACTGCTCCCGTGTCATTCACGCAATAAGTCATAGTGCGATTCCATAGCTGTACATGACGTTTAACGAATGATATTTTAAGCGTGGTGATAGAAACTGTAAACTCTCCTACTATCAATATCAGTAACATTTAATGAATTACTAACCTTTAAAGTCCACCAGGCAAAACATGTACATCAATTTGGCTGTCATCGATGTGTTGGATAAAAGGACAATACAGACTAACATTTTTTCTAAAAAGGTCTATATTTTTATCTTTTAAAGTCTACGGAAGGTGATTATATCTACTTTAGAAAAAGAAATAAGGTGAATTGGACGGTGCTCGAAAGCTGAAAGTCATCAATTGTGATAAATTACCACTTAAGCCGTCCAGACAAGTTCATCGAAATAAGAAACTGAATGCCTGATTAACACAATAAATTGTCGTTGCGTTCAACATATATTTTCCGTACAAGGTGGAATATAAAATAAAAACCAGTTGCCACATTAAAGGATGGTTCGTCAGTTTCTGTGGTTGATTTGGGCTTTAAATGTATGTAAATAGTGTTCAGTAGAACTGCACGATAGTAGGATTTATTATTGTCATCATATCTTACATTATTTTGAGTTCGTATCAATAGATCTTTACACATGGTGTTGAAAGTTATTTTAGTTCATTTTGTGCTTCTTTTTGCTTCGAATTAGTAATGATTCGAAAACATGGCTTAGCTGAAATACAGATTGACTGAATTTACCATCCTTAATTAACTTATATAGAGAAAAACATCTCTTAACATTCTCGTAAAATTAATGATCATGCAAACATTTTCAACACAAAAATAGTATGTACATGTATAACTAAATGTCAAGTTTTATGCCCATACGAAACTATCAGTATGACTCTTACATGGAGAACTCTTTCCATGTAAGAACTATACGTAGTTTCTTGTGGTTAATATGCCATTATTATTGCTGTTTTTTATCTTTCTGTTTCCAGATGATATCATTATTACCTGGATTATCTGTCAAAACTCAATCAAAGAGTAATCCACGTTTTCCTCGACTATGATTAATAGTGTGATTATGTTATGTCAGTTCTATTTAGAATAGAGAATTCGGTTCTGTTGCTTCAGGAATTTATTGAAGGTTTTGGTTTTATATATAAAGGGAACAAAATGTACTCCTTCTTGCACTGTTACTCATTCACGGGAGGTGCAGCGGTTGTTACACTGTCTACAATTCTATCTCTGAGGAAGTTTATCAAAATCTACAAATGCACTCACATAATTCCTTCAAACATATCTCAATGTAGGAATTTTTTTCTATTTCTATAGATGTCTTACTTTGTATGACAGTGTCTTAAAAAAAGACGACTCGTCTATTTAACTTTCTAACACGGATAATTCTCTGCACACTTGGATTTGAAGACTCAAATTTCGACGGTGAGCTGTGAACACTAGTACTGATAAGCTTAGCTGAAAAACTCCTGATTCTGAGATTACGGTATGATTGGTAAAAAAAATGACGCATTGTCCCTTTTAGTGACCATTTCAAGTCAATGTAGAAATTGACCAAATCGGCGGATATCTGCAAACTAACGATATCTTTCATTTCTATAAACCTAGAAAGTTTGCTATGTTCATTGTCCGTATCTATTGATACTATATATTTGGCATTTAGTAAACTAATGTAATGGTTTGAAAGCATCAACAGAATTTCATTCATAATCGGCTTTTTTTCATCTAGTAACAAGATAAAGTCTTAATTCAATACAATATTCCCCCTCTAGGCTATGTATTATAATGAAATACGCGGAAATCCTATAAATGAATTATAAGGGTTTATAATATTCAGAGTCTTTAATCTGGTGATTTGATGCTGGGTAAGAAGGGATCAGAGGATGTGACTTGGTATGATTGAAAATGTCAAATTCCAATGTTTTTTTTTTAAAGTACAACATTAAAGGGCGCATCCATTTATCAGCTGGTAGATCTCATTTTCAGCTGTCGTCAGAACAGTTCTATGTTTAAAATCTCAGATATCTGCTATATCGTGATGTAATCGGTTATAACTGTTGTTGGAAATTACGACGGACCAAACATCCATGGCATGTTTTTGTTTTTTTAAAGGGAAGTAAGGGAGAATTAAACAAATATTTACAGACCACAATCATGTTGGTTGACATTTAGCTCATCCATATACATGATGAAAGAACGGTTGAGCAATTTGTGTGTCCAAGCAGAAGCAGATTGTAATTTGAACAGAATAGAGCTTTGTATTGCAAGAAACCAATGGTTAATCTGCAATAGCTAAATACAATGAGAATTTTAAGACTAAAACAAATTCGGCAGTTTGGTGCTTGACTAATACCTATCTATGATATACGAAGGGCGGTGATAGGGATGTATTTCCACTGTTAAAGGGGGGATTGTAATGAGGTTTTATAAAACAATTTTCATCATTTGTGGTTCCTGCATTCCCATTAAAACTAAGCGTTTTATGACGTCACTAATCGCAAAATATGCTTGTAGCACATAAGGTCGTAAAACGCTTATTTTTTGTGGAATTGTAGGAGCCAATTTAGAAAAGCTCTTTACACTCCGTTTAAGGTGTTTGACAACCATCTAACAACTCTATCACAGAAGCTCCGATGACCACAAAATTTAAGATGATGAAAAATACAAAGTTTATTAACAATAATATCACAAAGTTCAAACAGAGAAGTTAGAAGAACTATTTCCCTCATAATCTACCCGAATCGTACGTTTGATTGTCGTAAGAATGTAAATCTGGTTTACTTCCAGCTAGTGTTGTTGTTGATGGTGAACCAACATTGTAAAAGCCACTTTCTTTTCTCTTTAGTTTAGCATCACTCCTGAAAAAAGAAAGGAAATGAAATGAAATAAATGGAGTTTTACATCCTACTTTTCTGCACCATGTGGGCGAACGAAGACGGACAACGCCGGAAAATTTTCTAGCACAGCGGCATTATTCTGCTCTTTTTCGATTTCGAACTGTCGAAGGATCTTTAACGTGCACAGCCTGTAGTACAAGGGATCTCGGTTTATTGTCCCATCCGATCGACCAGACACCTTTTCCATGCCAACCCCGAAAGGGAAGGAGACTTATTAATAAGACATATCAAGTAGAAAACAGTCTGATCATATATTTAGTAAAATTGTGAATTGTGTATCTGGAGAAAACCAAGAAGGTCAATGAGGGTGTTGAAGTTCCCTGTTCAGAAGTTGTGAGCATCAAATTACTTCCACCAACAGCACAAGGAATGTTAATCGTCACGTTCACTGCGATTTTTTGGCTCTCATTGGCTGTATTTGCAGAAGTACAATCCAATCGCATTGCTGCATTCCATGATACACGAAAGGTGGCTATAGCAGTCAAAATTGGTAAAAGCTTGACACTGTGAAGATGAAATAAACAGGGGTGGGTTTTTATTTAAAAAAAAAATTGATACAGGTTTCTGAAATTGGTCTGTAGCAACTGGTGGAGTAAAATCGAGTAAATGACATATTATTTTATACAACAAATCATACGACAGAAACCACCCCACCCCCACCCCCACCCCTCTCCCTCCGTCATTTAGAATTTGAGATCTGAAACTTGAAACTTTTATAAAAATGTTGAACCGTACTCATATAGGTACAATAGAGAAATCAAACCACAAACTCAAACTATCGTTGTAGGCCTAGGTCTTGATAAGCTGGTGATATCTGATCAGATGTAGTTGTAGGCGACTACTGACTAGTTTGATACGCCTCCTATACCTTCTCAACTTGTCTGATTATTGTATCGTTTAAGACGGGCATACTGGTCACCTAACCAACCCTCTTGTTGCGCAAAATAAGTTTACAAAATCCCGGATTGAGTGTGAGTTGAGATTAGGGATTAAGATACAAAACAATGTACATATCAATATAAGTCACTTTCCAAGCGGATGTCTTTAGTAACAGTACTTGTTGTTTCTTACAGTGATCGACACTTCAATACTAATAAGGTATATTGTTCTTCAGTATCTAATGTCTTTACTGTAAAGGTTTTTTTTAAACGTTCACTATATTTTAAAGGTAAGGCTAGTTTCATTATTCCAGTTTATTCTCTTCCATTTTTATATTAGAAACGTGTCTTCATATTAAAAATATATCACATTCTCTTACAAAATTTCAAAACATACTCTATTTGTAGATTTTACAGATTGTTTTTTTTTACAAATGGTTGTAACAGAATAGTTTTGAGAAATGTTTTTTAAAATGATCTTACCAGAACACAGTTAATAGAAACGAAAAAGACTTAAAGGAATGGTTTCAACAAATGGTTTTAATAGAATGGTCACCTCTGGCGAATGTCGTCGCCTGGTGAATATAAAGCTCCATAGGATAACATCATTTTGAAATCATCTTGAAGCTAATCAAAGGAGTGATTTCGAAAGTGGTATCAAGATGATGTTGATCTTACGCAGCTTTATATTCACCAGGGGACCACATTCGACAATGCTCAACAGTTTCCGTAAAGCTGAATATCGGCAATGAGTGGTGAATTCCGTTTTTTCTTCATGGTCGAGACTCTTTACATCCGGTATTGAGCAGTGATTTATCATGTAATAGTAATATTGTGACGTAATAGTCCATTAATTTAGAGACTTTGGGAGATAATTCTGACACTGATGTATTTAATGCTATATTGTGACTATTGATTATCTAATGATAAATTTTAGTATCCGTCTGCATATGTCTCTCACGGTGTTTTGTTTTCATTGACTTTGTTGACATACACCTGTAGTCCTGAACGACCAGCCTCTGATATCTTCATTACCAGGATAAATTGATCACGTGATTCCGGTAAATAATGTCTCAATCATTACCGTGATATGTTGCAGAGTGTTAGGGTCATTTTCACAGAGGCGAGGTGAGGTGACCACTGCAAAATGTTGGATACGGGTATCCAGTATCAAAGTATAAGATCTATGTCCTGGGATAGCAATTAAAATTAAGAATGTGTGTTAAAATTGTTATATTTGTATGTTATATAATCTTTTGTCATTGTGTTGTTATTTACATACATGTACGATAATCCACCTTCATTCCCTTAGGTTATGTGTGCCCTTTTTTGCATGAATCAATTTTGAAAAGTCAAAACGAATTTTGAAGAACCGCATGTGTCTCAATGTAAAAAAAACTTGGTGGCTTAGCAAGACACTTACAAACGACAGAGGTACAATCATGGCAAGAGATCTGGGTCGTTTTATTCTAGTCTGGCTCTTGTTAGGATATGACAATAAACCGTACGCAAATGGTTGTATTCTCGTCTCATCTTTAACCCCAATTATCAATTATATTGCAATTATTCATCCGAAGATAAGAAATATTTACTATACACATACCTCTGTTTACAGATGACAGCTAAACTTATCAATGTTATAAAACCAAGAACACCTGATGTTGCTGCCAGAGCTATAACTTTAGTTGAAAGAGGTTCGTCATCATCGTCTTTAGATCCAGTTAATTTTTTCGCACTGCATTTTGGATCTGAAATAAATAATACATGGTAGTTAGGTTTTAAAAATTTCCCTTAGAATGACCCAAAGGTTTTCCTTGTGGAAAGCAAAAGTATGCAATCTTATTTGAACAGCCTAGATTTAATAAAGTAAGATATTGATCTTGTCTGTATATACTTTGCAATATTAACAGGCAAGAGAGCTGGGACAGTAATTTCTGGAGCAAAAAAAAAAAAACAGTACTAATCTAGTATGACCCAGAGGTATGAAGATTAGCGATGAATAAAGTTGAATAAGGAAATGACTATGTTATAATTACCTGTATTGACAGACCATAGGAGCTGGGACTGTTGTGGATCACAAATCTGACAGGACTGTTCAGGATTAGTTTTACCTGCCATGTAACACTGGCTTTCAATGGAACATGTCTCGACCTAAAATATCACAGTAGGTTTTGTTACAGTAACGATGAGCATATATTGGCTTTCTCTGTTAAGTTTATAATATAAACTAATCAACTACAGTCCTTAGACTAAGTCTCAATCGTTCAAATACATAGCCTAAAGTTAAACATCCAAGAATGATGAATCCCCGACTCAACTGATAGACAGAGATCGTAAAGAATGAATCCAATAAACTAACCCTGCGACTGCAATGGGCATTAGTGTCATCATCAACTGTACAGTCATAACAACTCGAATCGTGAACAAGATGCAGATATCGAGCATCACTAACTGTATGACCATCATTACTGATACTTATATAAGCACTATGAGGTGGGTTTGGTAGTGGACATCCTATCTGATACATACTAATGTAGTTAGCTTTGATGGTGGACGAACCTCCTCGAATCTCAATCTTGTCACTGACCTGCAACGACAGTACATATACATAATGATTTTATAGACAATGAAATAATTAAACTCTGAAGCTCTGTCTCGTAATCAAGAAAAACAATCAAACCTGTAGAAAACAGATTTACTCCTTGTTAACTTTAACTGTTCCACAATTACATTTATTAAGAAAATAATATTGCACCCAACAAAATATAGGCCTAGACATCCCCATTCAGCAATGTAATTCTATTTCTTTTTTTTAACTTGATGACATCCTTAAATTACATAAAACCTCAGGCGACACAGAAGAATTTTAAATTCTGTAGTGACAGGAATAAAGGTTTGCTTCAGAAATTCATACTACATATGTAACAGAAGGATATATATATATATAAATAAGCATGTAGGTTTTAAATTGCAGCCCTAACGAAAATTATTGTTTCTTACAGACCAATAGATAAATACCAAAATATACTTACAATTATAGGTTGGTAATGGCAGGACAAATCAGCAGAATCAACGAAATTAAAACCCAGAATGTCTACTTGTGAACAATCTCTTCTATTGATATCACAAGGTTCACTGTCTGGTGAAATTGGTATGATGTCTGGTTTAGTGGTCTTACCAACGTCACATGCTGCACCAGTAAAACCTTCTTCACAAACACATACACCTTTATAAGATAAAATATATCATGCATTAAAACGAAATCGCCAAGCCAAGGCTTCCGTTCATTAAGAGATTCATATTTTTCACAGTCAAAGCTAAGCATACGGATACCTAAAACTATTTTAAAGGGTATAGACGTCTAAATATTTATTTTACAAGACGCATGATTAATTCAGCTACCTTTATTGATTTTTAAACCACAAACCCACGTTTGCCTACAGTTACTTTTTTATTTTACCTTAACCTGTGATCTAAACCAGTTCAAATTTCAACATTTACCTGTGCAAATATTCATATTTTGATTTTTTACTCAATGTAGGCAACCGGAAGTCTAATGTTAATTCTCAAACGTCATACGGCTTTATCACTGCCTGGAAACTGTACAAAAAAAACAAACCTGATTGACAGGAACCATGATCACCACAATCTAAAGGACACAGTGTTGCTAGGATAGCCTGTGTTGGTGATGTTTGGTTGTCATTGTCGGTGTATTGTGTACCCTGGCTAGTAGCTAGAGTAATACATAGATTTATAATATCATCAACATGAGCTGTAGCAAAACCTTCATCACCAGTAGTCTGTAATGTGAAATAATTGTGAACAAAATTTAGTAAGGAGTATTTGTCTACTCTTTGGCGATTTCCTGATTTTAAGCACCCGATTCAGCTTTTGAAGATTGGAAACACCATACATTGTGCTATGATGGGGATTTAACCAAGAAAATGACAATTATCCACTCTATTGCGATTACAAAGTGAACATCGTAACGTGCTAAAAACATGAAATGGAATGAATAGAGTTTTACGTCCTACTTTTTGTATCTGATGGTGCTAATGAAGAAGGACAGCGCAATGAAATGACTGGAATTTGGCTGAGAGAATGGTAGTTTTCTACTCAAAAGTGATTTCGAGAAATCTTTAAAATGGGCCTTATGTTTATTGTAACATCAAACCAGCTAGACGTCTTTCTCGTCGGCACATGCCATAAGATTAAATTTAGAAGGGTTCTTCTTGAACAGAAAGCGTTCAACAAGATGTATGAACGCTCGACTACTAAAAACCAAACGGTATAAGATACTTACATGTAAATCATATGCACAATTCTCTACATTTTGCGTGTAGTTGGTGTTGTTTGTTATGTTTTCACAGTTTTTAACGGCTGTACTATTATCTAAATAATCCATACAATATTCCTCGGCCTCTTCCATGGATATATTTTTAAATGTTGCTGGGATCTGAAATAACAGGAATCGAATTGAAATTAAATAGAGTTCTTTATAAACTATTAGGCTATGTTAAATTGTTAATCTGGTTATTATTGTTAAATAGCTGGAAAGTTACGAGCAGTGCATCTTAATTTATTTTATAAAGAATTGTGATTGGTCAATTTTATCACTACAAAGATATCAACAAATAAGATTTCTCATAATAGTACATAATAGTAGACTACTTTTTTTTAGTTATAAGGAGTGTTTTTGTATTCCCAGACATACACCGACATTTTCAATACATAAAAAATTGTACTTTGATGCCCATTGGATTATCCAATTTCCAAATTTGCTATCGATTCTATGAATGAAGATCGTTGTTGGAGGGTTGCTATCAGCCCAGTCGCTGAACATTATGGCGGTAACTTACCACTGTGGTAACAGGATCTGGCAATGCTCGTCGTTTTCTACCAGTTATAGGTTTATCAACATGAGGTAATTGGGCATTCTTTACTAGATAGTCCGTTATATCATATTCTGAAACACATTCAGTTTTTTATAGGAAGCTGTATGTGGTATGTACAATACAGTTATATGATGACAAGCCAAGAGAGTAACATGGAAAGGGACCAAAAGGTGTATCTCCAACGGAAATCGCATGGCATCTCCCTTGGGAGTTTGATGATTGGGCGTGATGACACAAGAATCTGATCGTTGATTCCGAAGAGACACTGGTATTCTAATTATCATTCTGAAATTGCACGAAAAGTGAAAGAGAACTCCATCAGATGGTAAGGAATTCCCGTAATCTGTAGTCAATATTAACTTACTATCAGTGGAGGAGGGACATTTAAAGATATCCATAGTATTAGAACATGAACTTTTATAACCACTGATACAGCTACAATATATTGGTCTTTTAACTAAAGGTGAAGCTATCACTCCTGTAAACATTGACTTGGTTGCTCTGAAAATTAAACCAAACATCGCAATATCGTTACTATGTCTAGGGGAATAAACGTCTTCAACGACTAGAACTACCCTAATATCAAGTTGTATCTATGTCGCATTTTCACGAGTTCTATTCTGGCTGGATTCATAGACAAAGGTAACCATTGAAAGCTACTTTTTAAAGTCTAGAAGATATTTTGCGCGCGATTCTTCCGCTTTTCAGGATTAATGCTGTTTTGATTGGTGCAATATAAATAGTATTCAAATTAGTGATTCTCAGACACCACAAAAGTCCCTGAAAGGAAGAAATTCACCTTACCTCCAAGATTCACAGAACTGTTTGAGATATCTACCGGAAGTAATCAATTTACCACTACTATCAGTCAAGTCATCCTTTTTATTTCTATTATAAATACCACAGAGTCCTGCAATGATTGAGAGAAGAATAAAGTTAGACTGTTTGAATTTTGTTTAAGAATAAATATGAATCTTGATCTTGTTACGTGGCTTCATATTACAAAGGAACTGATCTTGCAATAAATAAAGTTACTCAATGACATTGAAAAACGTCAGAACTCTTGTTGCGCTCGTTGTCCAAGTCAATCGGAGTTCACTGCGACACATAGATTTATAACTCCGTGTTCCCACCATGCATACTCAACGGTAAGGGGTCTGTTGGCTAGTAGATTTAGCTTACCTTGCGACTGACCATAATCCACAGCAGAAGCTTTAAGCCATATATTGATAAAAGAAAGATAACTAGATTTGACTGTAACTACTGATCCTGTTGGAAGTATTATCTACAATATAAAAACAGCCATTGCAATTAGACATGAAGTCACCTGCATACAGCCAGTAACGTGATTTTTCGGTTGTAATGTTTTGAAGGAGTTGTAAACTATACTGGAAAGATCCTTAACATGGTTTTATGGTACACGAAACCACCTTTTCAAAATAAATTATATAAAAAAATCAATAGTGACAAGAACAGCTAGATCAAGAGTAGAAATAAAGATCATCCATGAAAGTAATTCTGACCACAGACACAAGTTTTTGGACCACAGATGAATATGGATAATATTGTGGTCGTAAGTGGACAAGAATATCGGACAAGCTAATCGGACAAGATATAACACTAGCTAATGATCGACCTTAGAACAATTGATAAAGAAATTAAAAGAATGTGTGCTATCACTGACCTCGTATTTTTGTCCACAACCAAGTCTACGGACTCTTGTACCCGGTGTAAGTTCACCATTCTTATACATCTGTACCGATATAGGATTAGCATGATGCGAGTGATGGTGTTTGTGTTTGGAATACTTATCATAAAGACCATTAGCACATCCTGACAGTGTGATGACGTCATCACCAGATCGCACTGCCACCCCACAGTTGCAGGATGGTCCTTTTGGATTCCACTTACTGCACGGTTTATACAGGGTTCTCACCTACAAGATATGAGTACAATGAAAAACAATAAGACATCCTTGTCTTCTAGACAGATGTCCAGTTAACAAAAAAAACAAGATAGTTCACGACTCTAGACTGCACTGGCCGTGGTACCATAATTTTCTGACCTATAACGACACAGGTATTCCATTGTGGTCAAATTGATTTATGAATATTTATTGCAAACAAGGTATAATGCGGAAAATGGTTATTAATGATTAAGTTACCTCATAGGGTAGAGTTTTGTGTCGATATAAAACAAATTCACCACTGGCAAAATTATTATAATGCCTATAAAATAAAATATAGAAAAATGATAAAAATGAAAATAAGAGCTATATTAAAGAACTAAAAATCTATTAAAATGAAGTAAAATAATAATGAAAATGTTGTATTGAAAAAAGATATGAAAATAAAATATGTAATGGTATGAATAGAAGTAAGTATATGTATTAAATAATAATGTAATATAATAATGTATTAAATAATAATGTAATATAATAATGTATTAAATAATAATGTAATATAATAATGTATTAAATAATAATGTATTAAATAATAATGTAATATAATAATGTATTAAATAATAATGTAATATAATAATGTAAGAAAAGTAATAATGTAAAAAAACAATAATTTTTTTGTAAAACTTACAAGCCATCGAATGTTGTCATATGAGGATCGTTGACGGAACCACACACAGCTTTAAAATCTCTGTTGATAGCTATAACCTAAATAGAATAAATAATAAATTATTGACCTGTTATTTATCCCTAGTAACGATAACCCCGTTTACATTACAAAAATTATTCGTTCTGAGAACTGTTCCGAGAACGGAACGGATGAAAAATTACTATTGCAAACGGTCGAGCGTTCTGAGAACACTTCTTACGCATGCATCTTGACCCCTTGACATGTTTTACAGTTTTGTGAGCAGACGAATTTGGGTTAGGGGTACCACAAGTTTGGCCAGATTATCTATACAACTGAATCTGCGATCGGTTTTCAAAAAGTAATATGAATGCAAGGCCTGTGGTCGAATCTGAATAAAGTCTAAGCAGGTTAAGTATGGCAAAGATCTGGAAGGAGAAACATTACATTGAAGGTCAAGAATTATTATAGAAGGGTCAAGGATAATCAATAAAGTTTCGAAATATTTGTTGTAAGTAATTACATGTTTACCTTAAGCTCGTTTCCTATACTGTAAGATTCGGTCTTTTGTGTAACCGTACCGGTAATGACAACTTCCGCTTTCATTTGTCTGTAAGCATCTCTATCATATAATCCATCTATAGTAGCTTTAACTGGAATCTGTATCGTCTTTTCCCAATTGCTTACACTGAGTGACGTGCCACAAAATGGTTTAGTCAGACCACCGGATGGAGTCCACCCAATAACCATTTGTGGTATGACGACGTACTTGGAGCATTTGTATTCCTTCTTGGCAGCAATGATAGTAGAAACTAGTTGAACTTCGCATCTTCCCTTGTTACCGGTTGGACAAAGTAGTTGTGGAGGTGTATTAGATTTGATGTCGACCTTCTTCTCATTTTCTCCCTCTATAAGAGTCACTGTTCCCTTGGTAATGAGCTACAACAAGGAGCAAAATTTTAACAGAAGGTCTCAAGTTTGAAATCAATCCTATTTTTAAGTGTGAAATCTTGGGAAAATTTTGAGAAGAGCAAACTGTTAGTTTTCTTACGACAGTTTTGTCCCCTTAACCATATCTGTGTTTGTTCAACTGAAAATAAAATGATTTTAGTCCAACCCCCAAGACGCAGCGTCTCGAGAGAGAGCTATGATTTTTGTACAAAATGATTTTACACGCCCTGTCCAAATTTTATGACGAAAAAAATGAGTAAGCAAAATATTTTGAATCCTAGCCGTTATTCAAATATGACTAGAAAACTAGATGACCAATAATAGTAGCATATGATCTACATCAATTTATTTATTAGATCCATCTTAACGTTTTATCAGCAGCAGATAGATTGGTTCCAGACACTATCTTCTGTTTGATGGTCTGGTGGGAACAGATATTAATTGATGAAGAAAAACTCACCTCAACTTTTGCAATAAAGATGTTACTGCGGATGATTTCAGACCATCTACCATTGGGTAAATATCTTGCTGTAATTGTACATACAACCTAAAACAATTAAATGAAGATTCGTCTTATTGTCCGTATCTTTTATGCCACACTAATGAAATAAATGTGCCATCCGAAGAAGTAGATTGTTTATTAGTAAATGTTTATAATATAAATCTACTAACGATATATCAAATGTAATTAGCTATATTGGTCCCCAAAGGGATGCTCAGTTGCAGCAAACAAATACAGTCAGATCGGAGAATTCCATCGGGTAGTCAGGTAGGTTGGGCATGTCGTGCCTCACCAAAAACTTCTAAGGAAGTACTAATTGCAAGGAACCTCAAATTCAACTGTAAACTTTATTTAGAGTCGTCAGTACCTTCTTCCCAAGAATGTTTTCATCGAGATCCTTGGCCGAGAGTAGACTCTCAAACTTATTGGACTTCAGCTCTCTCTCACTGTTCTTTTTACCAAAGATTGTGAATGAGTATTTCACTTGAATGTTTGATGTGTCGATGGTTGTTTTAATACTACAAGAAAGGAAAGCCTCTCCTTTCGAGTTGACAATTGGTTTCAGGATAGCCGATCCTCCAATTATTGGAATACCAAGAGTTGTGGTTGGAGCTTGGGTTGTGGTTGTCGGTTTCTTGGTGGTTGTGGTGGGTTTCTCGGTGGTTGTGGTAGGTTTCTTAGTGGTTGTAGTCGGTTTCTTAGTGGTCGTTGGTGTTCGTGTTGTTGTTCTTGGTGGTCGAGTTGGGCATGGTTTTCTAGTGGTCATATCACCTGAAATAGAGTTCATAAAACCATTTAACACGTTACAATGATATTTCACCATATTTGGTAACAACAAGGTTAATAGGTCAAAAGCAAAAAAAATCCCTATATTCAGCAGAGGCTCAAAACATAAAATAACTTCAGTTTCAAGAGTTCACCGCTCAAATAGATATAACGAGTTATTGTTTAATGGATATCCCTACCAATGTATACAAATACATCAGTATTGTATTTAAATGTGTGGGGGTTTTTTTAGCAAAAAAAAAATGATATTCGAGGTTGAAAGTGTATTTCTTGTATCCATACTTACTTATACTGATACAACCAGCAGGACAAGAGCTAGTCGTCGGTTCCTTAGTAGTAGTGGTCGGCTTCTCGGTGGTTGTGGTGGGCTTTTCGGTGGTAGTGGTTGGCTTTTCTTTTGCAGTTGTTGGCTTCTCGGTGGTAGTGGTTGGCTTCGGGGTCGTGGTCGTTGTTGGCGCATTTGTCGTGGTGGTGGCTGCATTGTACAAAATAATGTAAGAATGTCAATGGCAACTTTTAAATTTCAAATATTTTCTGGATGAATAAAATTACCTACACGTTTATTGTTTCGGAATCTCATACTGCCACTCTGATTAAATAATAACATAAAGTATTTTAACTCAAATTTTTGATTCAATGGGAGTTGTAAAAAACTACTGCAAGATTTAAGCAAAATAAACGCTTTTTGTAGAGAAATATATCTACTCCGTATTCTAGAGGTTTCAACTTATAATATCTAGTCTTTATGAAGCCAAACATCAAACACTAGATCAAACTGCTTAATTAGCAATTAGAACACCCAGTTTTTAATTAACCCTTTTAAAACAGTTTGATCAAATAGATACAAAGATGTAAATAGCATATTTTAGAATGTTTTCAGGGATAATTTACGTTTTTGATAATGAAAATTGTTCAACTTCAGATGCATGTATTGATCACCGAACAACGTCAAATTCTGTGTGACACAACTAACTCGTTTGCTACTCCATGACTTTGTCAACCCTACAAGACTTTCAGAGAGTCCATAAAATATATGATATACATGTGGTATCACATACTTACGTCTTTGACAGTGACAAATACCAATCTGTATCAAAATTTCAATAGTGATGTGCCAGATATGGAAGGATTTAACCTCACAGTTTATGGACTGAAGATCAGTGTTTGTGGAGAAGGAATGTCCAATGTACAGTGTTCCAGTGTAGGCGGCGGTAATGGTAGTTCTTTTGACAAAGTGTGTTGTGCTGGTAACGTACTTCTCATTCAGATACACTTCTAGAGAACCTTTCGGGCTCCAAGAAATGAGGAACTTGTGAAGTTCAGATAAGGTGATGAGTTCTCTTGGGATTGTGGAGTACCAACTCTTTTCTTTTGTGTTTACTACTATCTGAATGTAAACGGTCCAAAAAAATATGTATTTATTGAATATGTGGTATAAATAATGGGCCAGAAAACATGTCAGTCCTTTCTGGTGGATGTTTATAGCATGTTTCAGACAGTCGTATATATTTCTGTCTTTTCAACACCCCTTCGAGGTTTATATCACATATTTTATGACGAGACTAAAAGAATAACGCTGACATGGTTTCAGGATCAGATCAAAGATCCAAACAAATTGGAGAAGATTTTGTTCGATACTAACCTGTATTTGACCAAATCTGTAAATGACAGCCACTCCAGGGTTGTTGGGATTTTCGCCACCCGTACTCATGATCACTGTATTCTCTTTTAGCTCAAAAAACTTCATTTCAAACTCAAAACTGATACCATTGGAGCAAAATTCGAGATTACCAGTACATGTATTGGACAGCTCTGAAATCTCAAGATATTGCTTGCTGGACTGAAGGTACACTCCATCTTTGTCTGATTTTGATACTCCCTTTAGGTTAATCTGAAGACGAAAGCAACGATGTAATAGGAAACAAAATATAATGTAAGCTTGAAAAGACGAATTAATGTAGCCCAACTAAATTGGCATACTGACAGTTTTCTCTGGATGGACGACAACGTCAACTGTACTATAAATCAAAATGAAGAAAAGTCTTTAGTAAACTAATAACACTCACCTGTAAACCATGATCGACCAATTTTGTGGCGTTTATGGAAGCAAATGTCCAAGCAAAACCAGCGGTTGGATCAAGCGTGGTGGTAGGTCCTAGAAAAATTTTACAGCATTGTTACACAAGCTGTATCACTCTGGAGATATGCTTCGAGCTCAAATCCCCAGAGTAATGAACAAAGGGAAATGCAGCCAGTTTTCGAGTGATTAACATTTTTCCATGCAGATGTCATTGATATAGAGACACTATCGCTAACGTCAGAACCTTAAATGGTGATAACGGTGGGAAATTAGACTAATTGGTACGCCTGGAATTGCTTGTATATAGACGAACCAAAAGTCCTGTGTTCATTCTGAAATCAATACATTTACATGTATATGTTGAAAAAATTGAGTTTTATATCCCTATGATTTTATTTAGTGTGTCAGTTATGATATCTGAGATGCGTAAAATTTCATCTTACCCGGTGTTGTTAAGATAGCTGTAAAAATAAAGAATCATGCCGTTCAATAATTTCATAAAAATTATTTTCTTTACATCGCAGTTTTTCCAACTGCTGAATTTATCAAATATCGGGGCTCTCTACTCCGGTGCATTTTCAAGACACCCGTCTTACAGAATAGTGATACATCTGGGGGTATTATCGTTATTATGTAGATGACCCATTTCTGAAACAAATGACGACTTCATACCCAAAACACACAACAGCAACATAAATTAAGCTCTTAAGATATATGGGTGTTATATTAGTGTAGAATAAGTTTTCCGCTTACCTGGGAGAATTCCTTTCTCTACCAAAACAGTTCTAGTGGCTGACCATACCATCAAATTAGTTAGGAGAAATCTGGATGTCGTGTTCCTGTCTTCCGTACCAATATACAGTGGTTTAGTAACATTGTTGAAGAACGTTGGTAATCTAAGGTGTTCACCTTCTCCTACTCTATAGTTATCAACGAACAACTGGAAACCATACTTTGTTGCCCATGACAGCTGAATCAGATACGTTTTACCAGGTTGTACTTGATATGGAGCATCTATCAACCATTTATCGAAGCCTGCCTGCAGCACAGCTTGAAACTTTCCAGAAGAGAAGGTCAGTTTAAAACCAGATTCGAAACGTTCAACCCCACTGTAGAAAATAACGTTATGTTCCTCAGAGTGGAACGCGACAGAGACCTGTATGGTAAACCCATGCTCACAATCTACAAGGCTGTTCAAACATGCTAGACATTCGGTAGGTACGGCAATATACTGTCCAGTTCCATTTAGGTCAAGGACCTTGATACTGTGATCTGATGGTGGTGGGACGTCTCCGATGTACTTAATCTTTAAGTCTGGAGTAATAATCTCACCATCGATAATATCGCGAACAGTTAAATCGTAGCTGATCACGTCTGTATTCTCTGGTACTTTCTTTAAACAAGGTGACTCTAAAACAGAAATAAGTCGAATGTCGGTTATGATATCAATCATCAGTCTCGGCATAACATATTATCAGTCTCTTTGGAAATTTATTTTTTCTACATGTAGCAGTTGCCCATGAATAAACCACGGCGTGCTGCAAAAAAAGAGTATCAATGATTAGTACTGAATTTTCCAGAATTCTTCATTGGACTTTTTTTTCTTAAGCAGATCTTTTGATTGGTGAAGCCGTTAATGAACAGTGCAGCTCACAGGTATTGAATAACAATTTCGTTAGTGGAGTCTTACGCAGGAATCACAAAACGAAATTTGTTTAGATTAAATAGATCAAACCTGTAGTGGGTATAGCTGTGATTGTTGTTGTTGGTGGCTGTGTTGACGATGTTGGTAATGGTGTGGTAGGAATAATTGGTTCAGTGATTCCCGCTCTCACAGCTTCACTGTAAATTAGAGGAACTATCCTCATTTCAGACAATTTGTACATTACTGCTATCCCATACCCTATCTGAAACGATATCCTTTTAGCCATCTGACTAACTTGTCGTGGACTAGCCTGAAGAACACTTCCTACTAGTTTACCATTCTGAAGAAGCTTTAATCCTAACGATTGACTCCAAGACAGCTGAAAGTTATACCAATGATGTATTTCCAATTTGATGCTGACAGATAGTTGCCATACCAAAGTTGATGTACCAACAGTACAAATGAGTCTTTTGCTCTCGGCATGATACATTAATTCTATTCCAGATTCCTTTTGCCAGTCACCTCCTTTCAGAATGTCAAAAGTTGACATTTGAATACTGTTGAAGCTGACTCCGACGTTGTATGTAAATCCATCTGCACAGTCATCAAGGTTCTCAAAACATTTTTCCTTGGTCGGTACTTGAAGAGTACTGCCAGCTGCGAGTTCCAGAAATGACATAGAGCCTTGTTGCTTAATAGATACTTGACCTTGGTAATGCAGTTCATAAGCAGATGTAACAATAGTAGTTTTGGTAACACTCAGGTAGTGAAAGTGCTGAACTTTAATCTGTGTTGCTGAAAATATAATGGAGTTTAAGTGTTAAGCCTTGAATATAAAAGGGCATAGGAGACGGGTGCTTGATGTAATAAATGTAAAAACTATTTGCCTGTTGGTAAGTATAGTAATAGCATCAAGATCCCCTATTATTGTCATCCATGTAATCGTTTATTGGTATATTTTCTCTCAAATATTAAAGTACACGTATTAAATCTCATCCGATGCTCTAAGGGATTTGCATATTAAGAGTATTTCGAATCTTATAAAGTTGCAATGGTCCTAAAGCATCATCAGGATCTTCACCAGACGATGAAGGACACACTCATGGAAATAGAATTACAGTGTCGGGCTACAAAATTAATCTTACCCTCAGTTTGACACTGGTGGCCGAAAAATCCAGCAGGACATTTACATAATTTCTTCCCAATACACTCGCCTCCATTATTACAAAAACCGTCATCACACAAAGCTGTAAAAATCATAGTAATAATTAGTTAGCCGTAATGTTCGGAATTCACAATGTCAACCTATTGCGAACTTCATTTTATACCTTGACTGCAATAGTCACCTTTCTTGCATCATGGACATTTGTAAATAAATCACGAAATACAGCGATTTGATTGGATTGTACATACAATCAATCAGAGCCCTCAACAGAAAGTCTGTTAACATGTATGTTTTCAGACTTGCTGTCGAGGCCTCTGATTGGCTATTTTCGCTAGCAGACAATCCAATAAAATTGCTTCATTTAAACTGCCTACAATAAATATATGTATATATATATTAAGGAAACATATTAAGTATTCTTAAACTTACCAGATGGTTCACATCCCATGAGTTCCATCCTAAAACAAGCTTTATTTATTACCTCTGTAGGTTCAATTCTTACTCTATCTGTAACCACAGAGGGTTGTAATCCCACATTATATGCCATACTTTCATTATAGATGGCTGGTATATCCTTAAAAACAAAATTCTCGAATAGTTGACTTTGGATAAGGGTCATTTTTGATTGAGGAGAAGGCAAGGATGGAACGACTAGAGGCTCATATTTAGAAATAAAAATACAATGTAAAGACGACAGTTTAAATGTTAAAAGACCGTCGCGAATTCTCTGGGTCATGATGTTAGAAAGTGAAATTTTTTAAACTACAGTTCGAGTTAAATGGTGGATAATTAGTACGCACTGTGTTGAATTCTTCAAACCCTCCATCAATGGCTAACGCAGGAACGAATTTGAGCGTAAATTTTTTCATGAAATCGTGCCCATAAGAATGTCCATCGGTTACAGGATGTTGAAACCGAATACCAGTTAGTGCTTGGGGCTTGGATAATCTTATTTCTACAAACGGATGCTCGTCACCATCTGCAGGACACCATGCTGCTCCAATGTCACCTAGAGAAAAATATTTATAAAATATAAATTAAGAAGTGCTAGAGTGAATCGTGCATCGACCAATGATTCTATAAAGCACTTAAGAAAAGTGCCTACTGCTGCAAAAGCGTTGTTAACGTCGTAGTTAACTGCCAAACAAAAATCATTTTAATGTTTTAACAATGTTTATACTGCTCGGTAAGGAATCTATAGCTAGCTAGAAATACCTAAACAGATGATAACGGTGAAATAAGCTCATTATGATGCTTGTGATTGATGATGATGATGCTGAAGATACTGGAATTAATGATTGCTTCTGATGTTATTTACGATAATACCGATGCTGATTCTCATTGCTGATGTGAATGAGGAAATGAAGAGGAAACTTACCTTTACAGCAGTCATATCTGATTTTATCTTTAGATCTATTTGCTAAGAAAGATGATACTTTAATTGCTGAATTCTTTAAGGCTCCATTGGAAAGTCCAAGTTCTTCATTACATACTTAAATTGGTAATGAAAGAAGATATTGACAAAGCCATTAATAATTATAATCTTTTTTTTCTTTATCAACACAAGTGCAGAAAAGAAGTGGCCTGGCTATCCACCATTCTCACAAATATAGGTAACATCAATGACATTTTTTATTATTAGGCGATCAAATATTTTATTTCTCCGGAAATCTTTTTCAAAATCCAAAATTTGGGACGTAAATAATTGAATGTTTTAATGATACCAGATAAGACAATTCCACAAAAGCAAAAACATGTAAATATTGATTTCAGGGCCATTATAATCAAAACTGTTTATAATTATTCCATGTGACCGAATAATAAAATTAAGTTGCATAATTTCACTCAGTTTAACCCAATTATAAAGGTAACAGTGGGTAATATATAAATTACTGAACCATTAAGATTTAAATGTCCTACACAGACAAGAGTCTATCAAAGTGCACAGATAACATCATAATTCATGTATATATATCACCGATATTTTGTCTTCTGACAAGAGAATTCCTTTGTTGTCAGGAGTGGGTATTGACTTTAAGGGTTTGATCAAGGGGTTAGGCGGGACCTATACTATTTGTTCTTCTCTCAGAATTCAGTTATCTCTTCGCATATCATAATATACGTAACAAATTTATGTTAGCAAATAAATTTACTATATTATCTTTTCTACTATACCCCGCATTTACATTCTCATAAAGTTCATCGGCGCTTGTCCTCTTTCACATAGAGATCCCGAAATTTAGGTGCTCTATCGCGCTGGGCAGAAATGAAATGAAATGAAATGAATGGAGTTTTACGTACTACTTTCTGCACCATGTGGGTTAAGAAGACGGGCAACGCCATGCAGGGTGCAATGAGGGAAATTTTGCCAGGACAGCGGCATTAGTCTGCTCTTTTTCGATTTCCAACTGTCGAGGGATCTTTAACGTGCACAGCCCGTAGCACACGGGGCCTCGGTTTATTGTCCCATCCGAACGACTAGTCAGCCCCTCGTACCTGCATCACTGACAGGGGGAAACCGGATTGAAAAATCCGATGATATTATCTCGACCTATGCCGGGATTAAAACCTGGACATTTTATACTTGTAATTACTCGTACATAACTAGTCAAAAATTTATATTTTGGTCAGAAAATTTTCGTTTTTCTCACCATTCCTTTTCCCAGGACCATTCTAAAGTAATTCTAAGAACATTTGAAAACTTTGAGCGCCCAAAACTTTCCCATGTGGAGAATATTACCAAATGATTGTTTTTCAGTTATCTGCACGAGATTGTTAATAGTGTTGAACTTGTAGTGTGGTTTGTTATCAAATTGGTAATCAACCGTAATATATAATTCACAACCGCTTTGGTTTTCTGCGAGGAGTTATGGGCTGTTGAATCCGCCATCTGACGAGCTGTCTAATTTCGAATGTTTTTATCCATCATAAATTAAATAAACTAAAATAATACGATCTCATTGTAACATGCACAAAGTTTTATATGCACTATATAAGTACCAGTTCTTAATATTATAAATAGGGAACAGTATAGAGCAGCAGAGAACATCTGTGGTGGTATAACCCTTGTTGGTCTGGGTGCTTAAAAAAGACGAGCTGAAGATGTTGACAACCTAAAGTTCTTAGAAACCAAAAATATGTGAAATATTGGTGATGGATTATGCGAACTGGTCTCACAACTATTTTTTTTTTTTATATTAAATCCACAAAGCTGTCGTCGACCTCGAAAAACGTTACGACGTTAAGGTGGAATTTGAGACTGGGTTATCAACTCAGCATCATAATTAGATATGTAAATACAATTAGGCCTACCTAGAGCAGAATAGGTACCAGTACTAATGAGCAGAACCAAACATAAAAGGTGTTGAGGTAGTTTGATCATCTGAAATTTTTAAAAACACAATGTTTGACCATGACCAAGCGATACATTTTTCAGATACAAAATCTTAATCAGGACAACTGAAAAAATGGGAGTTGAACTGCAGTATTAACTCATTAGTCAAGGCATTTATTTACAATATATATATTTTTGCAAAATGCACAAGCTTATACGCACTCAGACAGATATGCCATGACCAGCATGGTAGGGAGTAAAACTTTGCCGACGCCCGGCATTTCAAGAGACCCTCTTAGAACATGTCTACTAGATGCGAATTTCCGTATTGGGAATCAAATCTTCTTACAATCTAAATGACCTGCCTAATAATGAACCTTTCAAAGTATTGTCATTCAATTTTCGTAATGGTTTGTAAGAACCGCATGCACTGTAAGGGGGAGAAGTCAGCCCGCCTTCTCGAACATGAACTCTTTAATGACATTTGATAGAAGTTAAAAAGGCTTACCTTGTTCTGATTGGTGAACCTCCACTACTGATCATATTGTGTTTTTACCACGATATATAAGGTCTCCGATGTTCGAGTGGGTGGCCCTTTTTTCTTGTTTATCAATATAGATAATGGTATATGATGCCAATACAAATAAAGCACAGCCCCCAATATTCTTTATCTGATTTTGATTGAGGACATTGGTGAACATCAAGGTAGATAAGAAGGGAGTTTCAGTAGTGCCGAGAATATTTGTCCATTGTCTATAGGCTTGACAGTAAATGCGCACTAATTTAACGTAAGAATTCTTTTTTAAACGTTCCTCATACGGCTGTGGGGTGGTGTCGGGAGTTCTTCCCTATTCCCTTCCAGAAGACATCCTACGTACACCCATCAATGTCACAGCTAAAAAGACCCAAGTCAGTGTATTTTTCCACTTTCTATCTAAATAATTAGGATCTCCTAATCCAGTACTTTAAACACCGACTAGCATTACCTCTGGACGAGATGCAACACAACCATGCATGTTTTCACAAACACTTTAAAGAGAGGTTTTAAAAATTCGTAAGGTGGCAAGTGGTGTGCCGACAAATTCACATTTTTTTTTACACCCTAACCATCTCTCTTCGATTGTTTGATGCGACTGATTGGCAATGATTATAGAAAAAACTGTTGGTTTAGTCAATACAAAATAAATTTATTTATAAGTCCAAAATATAGGAAACATAACAAATACAATATACACTATAAAATATGTACCAAATAAAAAATATATTTCCCTGTATTAAGTTTAAATATTCCATAATTACCCCCCCCCCCCCTCTTCCAACCTCGCCTTTACAGTTTTTTTGATTTCCGAAGATTCCTTTTGTCGAACTGGTTTGCTTGATTTGTTTGTATCGAAAGAGCTACCATGTTCCCTTCAGCTTTATGAAATCCAGATTTATTAATCTCTCTGCGAAATTGTCTTCGTTTATTGAATTTATCGTCCACTTTATTTTTCCAATAGGGGCTGTTGTTTCCGCGGTGAACCGGATAGTCGATACCGGGGAGCAGGGCCCATCTTGGTACATCTAGGGGTAACTGGACATATGGTTCATCACTCCAATTAGCAATTTCGATTCCAGATGCTAAAAATATAGCGTCATCTTCGTCATTGTTGACCAGAGTGTCTAGCACAGGGTCTTCTCCTTCTACAGGGTAGTCGATACCGGGCAACAACATCCAAGATGGTAGACCGACGAGCGGTGCCTGACTCCATGGATCCTCTGCCCATACCAACTCGGAATTGAAGTCATCAGTAGTCGGATCTGAAATATATCAAATTTATAATTAAACTCCTTGCCGAATGACCTAGGTATTTTTTACTAGGAAATAGAGCACTGAGATCCGAAACTCAATGCCTAGAAAGATGACCATAATAGGTGTGAGAGCATAGCTCCAGGTTTCCAAGACACAGGATGAGGGAATAAGACGCCCAGCGGCAAGGGTTAAAACGACAGTGGTGCTTAACTGCCATTGGGACTAATTGAGTCAAGCCCACATGCATTAAATTGACTTACACAGGGGTCTCAGAATTCATTGGAGTTAAGTCAACGGCTCCACTCCCATTTAGTTGAGCCTCTGTAAAACCACAGAACCCACCCTTTTCGACACTTGCTCGCACAGTTCAGAAAAAAAGATGCACAAATTCGTCCTTTGTATCATTAACAGTAAACGAAATGTCATTGTGATTTGATAGATTTGATTGGTCCTACCTTCCATCTTGGCCCAGTCAGGAACCTCAACATCGTTACAGGAAGTCCAAGGTTCGTCTGCCCAATTGAATACATCTTCCTTAAACTCTTCCCGAGAGGATTTCTTGTTGTTGTTATTGCCGTCTCTGTTGTTGTTATTTTGGTTTGTACCAAAGTCTGAAAAACAATAGTGGAATTCACTGTTACATGCTCTCATAATTTACAAGGATCAGTTTGAAATGGTTTTTTTTTTTTTCAAATTTTATAGATACTCGTTCGTGCTTTGTTTTTGGGCCGTTTTATTTGAATTATTTTTAATTGAAGTTTTTGGCTGTCATTTGAATTGGGAAATAGTTGGGCTGTGGAATTTATACATACCATTGCTAGTAGGAAGTTGGTCTCCGTATTGGTTGGTTCGTAAAAAATCCAATTCAATCTCATCCACTACATAGCTTATTACTGGTATTCTGAAATATACAAATATGAATATTAACTATTATCTTAAATTTTCGCCATCCGTTTTGACAAATTATACCTTAGTCTCAGTAAAGGAAATTTTAGCTAAGCTAATCAGAAATAGTGGTAAATTCATCGTCAAAATTTGAGCCTTCAAATCCATGTGTGTCCAGAATATCCGCGTTAGAAAGTTAAAAAAGCGACTCGTCTTTTCTTGAAACTCTGCCATATATAGAAAAGACATAATTACATAGATATTTTAAAGCGAAATTCCTATTTTAAGGTGTTTTTGAAGAAATTAATAGTACATTTCTAGTAATTCAGAAGAATATTTACATTATATTATATTCAAGACCCGAAAATGGCAAAATTGTCCTAATAAATAAAAAAAAAGGTTTCCTGAAAGGAGGACATGTTGAAAACCCTGACTTACATGATAGCCATGATCTTCCGTCACTTACTCCGTCAACAGTTTTCCAAAAAAGATATTGCAGAGAAGTGAAACGCTGCTTTCGTCTTGAAAAATCCACAAGCCAATGACTTTTAGACAAATTTGATATAATGATCATTATGACGTCATAATAGATATAAGTGAACAGAAAACAATGGAGAAACAAGACCCACCCCATAATAGCTCTTACTGACTTTTAAAAAAAAAATCCTCAATAAAATAAATAAAAAATTTGCAATCTCATTCCTGAAGCTGGCGAAAAAGTTGTTGAGAGGTAGGGTCTACCTTACTCTTCGCTTGCTTGTTTACATTCGTGAGACACATTGGAATTTACTTTATATTTTATAATGTTCACCACAGAAAGAAATTAATCTTTTTGGCAATAGCAATTGATTTTCTGAGCCTTGAATAAATTATTATTATTATTATTATATTCTCTCGCATATTTAAGGAACATTGTGCTCAGAATGATCGTATTTTAAAAGTAAACAATAAATATTTTGTGGCCATGTGCCTTTCTACACAATGTTTATAGCAATCTGGAGAGTTACATTCGAGCGATAGAGCTTAGGTAGTTACTTCTATCTTTAGTGTTCGATCTTTTAAACCTTTTTCGCTAAATATCTTTAAAAAAAAAGTTGGGTCCAATATGGTGTTGCTTTGACGTAATTAGGTATATGTTTGGCATTCATTTACATTGTTAGATCATTTTTGTGGAGAAACAAACGACAGGATGGGGTGTTCTCAAATCAAAGCCAAGTCTGTCAAACACCATTGGTGCCAATATATTGTAATGATTCTTCTTTTCAAGTTGGAATAAGAAGGAATATCATAGTCCTCAAAATTGTATTTCCTATTTAAGCTTTTTGTTATGAATTACATGATACAATAATGCTGTTAATTACACAGTACACGCAGAATATAAATACTTACAGAGTAGTCATCCTTTTAATTAAAGAATACGTTGAAATTGCTAAAATTTCACTGAATTTTCTCTGCAAACTAGCAGCGTGGCTTTAACTTGAGAAGTAAAGTCTGCGAGTGTGACGTTATTTTACTTGTAACGTCATAGTAAAACATCGTTTACCCAAAAGTAGCTCAATACGTCAATTTCTTAGGGAAGCTGTTCTGGTCATATCATATCAGTTTTTCATGGGCGTTAACTTAGCATCCCCTTCATTCTAATAAAACGAGACACGGCCCATGGTTTTTTTCGATCAAATTTGTGACTAACTGTCGGACAACAACTGTCGAGATTCAGATTCAAAATTCGAAAATTCCGAGGAATGACACTGGTGCACTGAGGCGTCGAGAAATGTTTTGAAAATAGAATTGATTTGATGCATTCTGGCACATATCTTGGGATCATGGTTTGATTTTTGTCAGAAATTAAGTGGGGGGTAGTATTGTGGGTACAAACCATTTTCCGCCAAAGAAAACTAACAAAATAGTTGTATAATTTAAGAATTTACTAAATAATGATATATTAATACAAATATTGCACGACGTATAATGATAACTGATAACACGAATAAAATTATAAGAATATACTTCTATAATGATAAAATAATGATAACATGATAATAATACCGCCATTAATTTATAGGATAGATGTCTCTGTAATATAATGAAGCATAGGCATAAAAAATTAGTTTTTCGCTGCATTATTTTTAAAAGAGTATATCGTAATGTTATAATCAATAAAAATGTTAGCTGCCTTAAAGCTTGACTAAGTTACTATCGTTCAAATTAAATAACATTGAAAAATGGTTGATAACGTCATAGAAACTAGCTCAATGTTTACGTGTTTTACAGCTAACTACAGCTAACCGTAAAAATTTATAACAATTTTCTTCTGCCATTTTTTCTTGATTGATGAACCAATCATAGTTGCCTTCGTTTTATAATGTCTTCATTTAAAAGTCTCAATTGGTGAAATGAATGTTGCCTAGCTCCTAGATTTCTTGATTTGATTCATGAAAAAGATATCATTATTTTAATGTTTCGTTATAAAACATCAAAAAACCTACTCGACATTAAGATCAAAAAGTAAAAAGATCATAGTGCTAAAAGTGACTCGATGCTTCACTAAATGATGGTGTTGGTGCTGTGGCTTTACAACAGTTTGTGGAACTATAGAACTTGAGATGGTGGGGAACATCTGGTCGCATCCATCCACTGCAGATATTGTTACATCGATGTGAGGCAAAGAATTCTAAGATCCCTGGCCACTGTCTATCATTTTCTCCAAACGATCCAGTTGTTGAATGAATTGTAGGTGTAGTGAGATGATAGGTGGCGCCTTGACATGCTCCTTGTAAACCGGAAATGATTATTTCGCGCGAAACGTTCCATGAAAAATGTGAGAAAGCTTCAAGAATACCGTCACAGTTTGCACTGTTCACTAAACCAGACGGCGTACTGAATCTTTGAAATTTTCCTTCAATAAAGTCTTCCATCAGAATGATTTCCCTTGATTTCAGTTTATTTTCATGATGTTTGACAAGTCTAATAACGGGAATGAAATCGGAGACTGTTTCTAGAATGGCTTGACGAGGCGAGGTGAAGCTAATGAAACGATGTTTGACGTATGAATTGAAAAGATATGAATAATGCTGGGCTTTCGCACTAATAAAAGTAATTTGATTCCAAGAATTCAGCTTCTGCTTTTTGTTCAGTTTACTTTTAACTACACAAAATTCACCACGCTTCGGACCTATTCCATTATATAGACCTTTATACACAGCAAACTCTTTGCCCTCGTGGAAAGGATAGAGTTCAAAACTAGAAGTGTAAACATCTTCTAGATTTTCGGCACTACACGACAAAGTTTGGTTATCCCTCTCAAAACCAAAGATCTTCATTTTTTTTTTAAGTTCAGAGCTCTGAAATATATATATAAAAAAAAAGCTATTTCCTTCAATCAATAATCAGACATGTTGAGATTCGGGTTTTTTTGAATGATCTTGAATATGTCACATTTCATTCCAGTCGATTCCTTTTGTAAATGGGAACAGATAATATGGGAAAGATCGACACATTTCCATGTTTTTTTTCTTAGTATCCCCGTGAGGGGTATTTACACCAATTCAGAAGTCTGTAATGTATTTTGAATATAAAGTTGAAGCAATAATAATTCCATTCAAGAAGAAACTGGCGAAGACTCTATCAGGAAAACGCAAACATCGTAAATTAGAATACTTCTACCAATTTGGTGCAAATAAATAGGGTCAGCTTTGACAACCCCGGTGTTGACTGTAATCGGAGATATTATACTACCATAAACCTTTAGTCGTCAGTACATTTGCTTTCAGAGATTATTAAGATCAAATTCAGGTACCAGAATGAAAATTCTACGTAGACGTACTTCTTAGTTCAAATCACATTACAGTTCAAATACGTCACATGCGTAAAATACAATTACCATCAAGTATATGCAATGATACTATGCATGTATTACGAAAGAAAAATCAACAAAACACCAAGTCATAATCACCGTTAACACAATTGATTGAGCTCAAATTACACTACAAGGATCGAAATTCCACACCAAATAGTAAAATTGTAAAAAATATCAATATATATGTAATATCATACCTGCTTTATTTAAGAGAAGTAATCTATCATTTCTTAAGTCTCGTAGAAAATGGCATTCCTTAAAAACATCAATCTAATGAGATGACCTTTTGTCATTGGCAAACCAGTTAGTTGATCAGAAGTCGCCCTAGGTGTTTAATTATCCATATGTCCTTGGTATAGATTCTAATATAGCGCCAACCGAATCAATATAATCTATAATAACAATATATTATGATACAGATATTAATATTAGTTCAGATCTAGTTAATGATAATAAATTAACTAATTCTACCTAAAACATCTGTCTCTTTCTCATTAATAATTCGAAGCAGTATAATTCAATTGTGACGTAACAATAGGTATACAAGATAATGGTAACTGGGTCAGAAATTCAATACAATGACCAACTATTACTAACAACTGAATGATATCAGCATCTACTGCAAGAGCACCATAATATGTGAAAAATATTAGAGCACTGAATCCCCCTATTTCACCATGATCAGGTATTATATTCGCAGTGATCCTGTTTTAAAGCACCTCCCGAGACTGTGGGGACAAATAGGGCCTTTTACACTGTCGCGCCACTGTTTAAAAGACACAGAATAATAGTGAGACCTGTTTATGTTACACTGCTCTAACATCAATAATATGTTACATTGTGGCATTTCCGTTTCAGTACAACATTTCGAGCAATACGTGATCAAAAACATGCGTTATTGTATTAACTTACAATATTCATATTTTAAACATTAAACTTCAATTTAGAATGGCCTTGAATAGGATCTATGGCTTAATTTTTACTTCAAACATTGACTATACTTGTATTCAGAGTTTCTGACAGGTGATGGGAGGGGGGTAGATTATAATTATACATCATAAAAAGACGTTAAATGGAATTATTTTGGTCATAGTACATAAATCATTCCATTGTTTATGCCTATGAATGCAGACGATTTAGTG